ATCTTATTTATTAGATAGAATTCACAATAAAACTATCTTGTCCTGGTGATTTTTTTCTTTTTTTTTGTGGTTTAGGTTTTTGTTTACTTATTGAATTTCTTAAAGAAGACGTATTTTCATTCCCTTCTCACTTCCCTTTGTGTATATTCTATAAATACTTTGTAGTTATCATTGCAATTACACACAAAAACATTAAACTCATAAGAATCTATTGTTTTAAGCTGATAATCACTCAACTTCAATCACATATAAATATTATTTATTTCTTTTTTTATTGTATCTTGATCTTTCATAATAGAACTACCTATGGAGAACAGAAATTACAACTTAAAAATTAAATTTAATATTGTTATTACATGTTTACAATTCAGGCAGCTTACAGTCATCTTAGGGAGTGGTTACATGTGCATATTACAGCTTTTTTCCCTCCTCATTCCCTTCCACTTTCCTCTTCTCCATTTCCCCTTCTCTGGTTCCTTTATCATCTTTTTCATATTTGTTGATATTATTTGTGTTAGCTCATCTTTCATCATATAGTATTTACATTGATTGGAGTTACTAGGATCCTGTTATGGCACAACTTTTTCATTTCTTTTCATCTCTGATCTTTTTTTTTGTGGTATTGGGGGACAATTATCCTTTTCGTATTGCATATTTATTAATATAGATTCATAATTTGTTTTATACTTTAAAAACTTCTACACAAGATTAAAAGTGATTCATTCAGCTATATTATAATAATATTTATTTATATACTTATGTTCCCCAAGTTTTATATTTTGGTATAGTTTTTGTGCTGTTGTTTATCCCTCATTTCAACTGAAAGACTATATTTTACATTTTGTGTAGAGCAAATCTAGTGTGACAAAGTCTCTTTGTTTTTCAAGGACAGTTTTAATGTATTCTTGGATGGTGACTTTTCTTTCAGTATATTGAATATATCATCTTATTCCCTCCTCATTTTTAAGGTTCTACTGAGAAACCCTGTATGAGCTAGTAGGAACTCCCTTGTATGTTGCAAGATGCTTTTCTCCTGCTGCTTTAAAAATTCACTTTTCATGACTTTTGATAGTTTATGACATTATAGTAGACTTCTTTTTAGCTTTTCAAGTTTATTGATCTTTAAATTTGTATTTCCAACTGTTTTCTCTTATTTATGACATTTACAATCATTTCTTCAAGTAAGCTTTCTTTATTTTTCTCTTTTATTCCTTCTGAGTCTTTTATAATATATATGTTGTTCCATTTAAAGTATCTTTAAGTCCCTTAGGCTCTCTTTACTTTTCTTCATTCTTTTTTTTTCTTTTTCATCCTGTGCTTTGATAACTTTAAATGTCTTGTCTTTCAGTTCATAGATTCTTTCTTCTATCTAGTCAGATCTGCCTGTTGATTTTCTCTAGTGAATTTCTTTCAATTAAGTTCCAGAATTTGATTTATTATTCTTCATCATTTCTCTCCACTAACAGTATAATTTATTTATTCATTGTTTTCCTTATTTTGTTTAGTAGTTTATCTTTTCTCTTTGAATTTATTGAATGCCATTATGATAGTTATTTAGAATATTTTTTCTGGTAATTCATATATCTTTACTTCTTTAAGGTCAGTTTCTGTAGATTTGATTTGGTTCTTTGGTTTGGTTAGGTTCCTTTGCTTATTTGTATTCCTTCTTACCTTCTGGTGCTCTTTGTCATTTGAAAAATTGTCCACCTCTCCTGTGGTCTGATTTATTATAGATGGAATTTTCTCTAATCAGACCAGCTAGAGATTCTGGAGACCTCTCAAACCTTGGCAGCTGAGGTTATGTTTTCTTGGGCCTTGTGTTTGTAGTATATTAATTGAAGAGGTTTGCTGCTTTTTCCTTAGGAGTTCTCTCCTGGTTCTTCTGTACTATGTCAGCCTTTGATGCACATTGATCACTTTTATTCTCAGGGGTTCTAAACATATGTCCTTTTCCCTAAAGAATTTAAATTCAGAAAATACAGCGACCACTCCCTCAGATAGCCCTCTTGGAAGTCAGAATGTTGGATATATGTTCTAATCTTCTGTTTCCATACTCAAGGAAGAGTTGGGCATTTTTTCCCATTTTTACAGTGCAATATTGTGGGGTGGGGTAGATGCTGTCAAGTTGTGTTTGCTTTTGCTTATTTTTGAAGCAATGTTTAGCTGCATGTTGAATTCCAGGTTGATATTTTTGCTAAGTCGTTTGAAGATATCATTTGATTTTATTTTTCTAATGTTTCTTGTTGATAACAATGCTTAACTGGCATCATTAATAAGTTAATGGGGGCTGCTTGACCTTTTGATTGAGGGTAAAGAAGAAGATGAAAGAATAATAAAGAACAAAGAATTTGTTGGGAAAGTGGGAAGGGTAGGGGAGAACTAATAAGGGAAAAAAATATGAGAAAATGGAAAAACGGAAATGAAGTGTTTGTAAAGGGGGAGGGGAGGAGGGGTGAGGGAGGGAAGGGACAAGGGGAAAATATGAGAACTGAGACCTGTCATTGTAAAGGTACAAGATCCCAATAATGAATGTAACTGTACTGTATACCTAAAATGTACCAACAAAAAAAGAGCAAAGAATAAAGAAATAAGAACAAATTTCAGCTTATTACTATGGAGGCCTGAGGATTTTAGTGCTCTCCTGGCTAAGACCACAAGTCTCAGACTTATTAGTATTTATTGATTACACAACATAGCAAAGGGAATAAAAGCAGATGTAGGGAAGAGCAGGACTAAGGCACTAATGATCCAGGCTTGGAAAAGGGAGCAATGGTGTATTCTTGTTAAGGACAGGACATAGTAAGCAAACCACTTATGCTACCTTACAAGTCATAGTTGACAAGCCACCTGTATTGCCTTTAGCGAATGTTTGATCTGGCAGAATGGCTGTACAAAGTCATAAATCCTCAGCTGTAGTTTCATCTTGCTATCAGAGACATCACAATCTCATCGATCATTGAGATCTCAATTGTGACCATTGGTACAGGGAATTCTGCTTCCGTATGGCAATTGAAGCATCTTCTAGCAAGTCATTTAGGCTTTGGATTGACTCATAATTTTAATCAATAGATGAATTATAAGCCAATTCAATAAAATGTTTAAGACCTGCTCAGCACAGTTTCAAGCTGTTCTCCTAGAAAAAGTAATCCAATTTGGATCGTATTAAAATTTTGGTCATTGTTTTTTTTGTACCGGGGATTGATCTTGGGTCCTTGCACTTGCAAGGCAGGCCACCAAACCTCTGAGCTAAATCTTTGGCTGGTCATTGCTTTTAGTGTTCCTAAATTTAACTACAATGTATCTAGGTGTGGATTTCTTTTATTTACCATGACCTTGGTTTGTTGTGATTTCTATGCATGAATATTCAAATTTTCATCAATTCTAGAAATTTCTCAGACACCTACTTTTTTGAATAGTTTGTGTTCTCCAGTCTTTCTTGCCTTTAGAAGAATTCTAGAATTCTTTTTCTATTGTGTAGATTTCTTAATTTAATACATATTCTCATTTTTTTGCTTTTGTGCTACACTCTCAAAAAATTAACTCAGTCATTAACTCACTAATTTAATAGTATTTAACAGGTTGTTTAACCATCCATTAAGCTTTTATGTTCAATATTTGTTGAATGTTTATTTCTACGAGTTATGGTTGATCATTGAGGAAACTTAAAATGTTTCTTAAACATATTTTAGATAGTTCTTTGGTTTATTCATGATTTTTAATTTTAGAATATGAGTTCATATTTTCCTAATAATATGGAAGTCCATGAAACCTGAGATGTGGTTACCTTTCTAGTAGAGTTTCTTTTTTTTTCTGGATAAAATCCTGGGATGTTACCAATCCAACCAACTTCAATTTATTTAAACCCAAAACATGTTTGACAGCAGGTTTTGCCCTTTCCCCCAATTTACAGGTGGACTCAGTTACAAATTGCTCATTGGAGAAATAATACCTACATCACTCTTTTCTTCTCAAAGGCTCCAGTATATCGATCTACTTGTAGTACATTTCAGTTAACCTGAGAGGTCAAAAAATGATTATTAACCTTTTACAGGCTCCTAGTTATCAGGAAGTAACTGAAGGTATAATTTAGCTTCAGAGATTTTGATAGAACACCAGTCACACTTTTACATTTTCAATCTGAATGTCCTCAGATATTCATTGATTTTTCATAAAAATGTACAGAGTGTCTATTATTCGTTAGTTACTAGTCTAGGCATTGAGCAACTGGAGAAGAAATAGAGAAAACAATTGAATGAGGTAGCCAACCCATGGACCTCATATTGTTGAGAAAGATGGCCTTTATATATCAGATACAAACAGAAACAGTTCATTGACTTCAAAACTAAAATGCCTCTTTTTTGTGTTTTCTGTGAATAAGACTGGACAGCATTTAACAGGCAATGGAATAATGTTTCTCTGTGCCCCATGGAACCATTCTGAATCAGCTGGCTCTGCCATGGAACACACCTCAGCCTTAATGCAAACACTGATGAATCCTATAGAAATATGTATAAATTACCTACCCTCACAAGCACAGTGATAAATTTATTGTAGTTGAATTTGTAACTCAACTTACTCCACTATGAGTTATTTTTCTTATTCATTATCTAGAACAGAAATTTCTAAACTTTAGTGGATAAAACTTATCTGGGGGAATCATCTACTTAAGATCTTAGGGTCTCTGGGTAGATAAAAACAAATGCATAAAACATGTAGTTGGCAATTATGTTTCAAAGCAAAAGCACAACCTGAGTCAGGAAAGAAAAAGCTGTGGTGTTGTGCTGGTGGAGAAAACTTCTCTGTGGAGCTGATATTTATCATGACTTACAATATATATGGTTTTCTAAAAGCCAGCTAACATCCAGGGGTCACACCGAACCCATAGACTGCCCTCAATGGCATCCAACTGAGAGAAAACGCAGTGGTCCCATTCTCTTGAAGGAGAATTTAGTCTTGGTTTTGTCAAGATAACCCACTGAATTTTGGTCTTGATTTTGAAGATTGAGAAGACAGAAGAGATACATCAGCAATTCCAGAAGTTTTTGACTGAAATAAGAAAACTCCCTGATGACTATGAATTGTACATAGCCAACAGACTATTTGGAGAAAAAACATACCTCTTTCTTCAAGTAAGTTTTGCTATGTCCAGCACATCTCTGAGTGGCAGTCTTGAGTTACCAAATTGTTCTGTCAGGACAGGGGTCCTGGGGCTTTTTCCAAAGTTAGCTGCCTGGTTCTGTTGACATCACTGGTGGTCTTTCTGGCCTGCTCACCAGATATTCAACTTCTTTTAAATCCTGATAATCGGAACTTGAATTTAGCCTTAATCCTATTGTACCATCATAAAATTATGCCTGGAGATACTCAAAGTGACTTTTCCAGAGTCTAAAAGTTTTCCTTTTGACATTACTTCTCCTGAAGAATAGAAAATTTTATTTAGGGCGTGGTGGTGCATACCTGTAACTCCAGCATTCAGGAGGCTGAGGCAGTAGGATCGCTGTGAGTTTGAGACCAGCCTGGGCTAAATAGTGAGTTCCAGGTCAGTCTCAACTACATTATTTAGAGATGCTAGCAATTGAAAAAATTACTTAAAAACCTCTTTCTATTTCTTTCTCGTTTCTCCTAAAGAAATATTTAGATTATGTTGAGAAATATTACCATGCATCTCTGGAACCTGTTGATTTTATAAATGCAGCTGAACAAAGTCGAAAGAAGATTAATGCTTGGATTGAAAGCCAAACAAATGGTACAGTATGGGTGGGTCACTCATCACACAGACACTTCCTAACCAGCTTCTAGGGCTTGACACCACATGAGCCTCAGGTTGACCAGTTTTGGGAAGGAGCTTAAGAATGGGTTTTGCAAGGATGAAAAGGCAGAGATGGGTAAGAGGGGTATGCGAAGGCACTGCAGATGATGGAACAGTCACAGAAAATGTAGAGGTTTAAGGAGAAACAGGGAGGGGACCACAAAAATTCAACTATAGGGAAACCATAAGGGGAAATTGTTTGCCTCTGGATTGCAATGTCTTTGGTGTTCCACATACTGAGCTCATGGCTGTCTTCAGCTTACTATTTCCTTTATATCAAAGACTTTATTTCTGAGCCTGAGTCCATAATGAAACTGTCTAGAGGGTTTCCTCCTCTTCGTTAAGTGAGTTCTCCCTTCAAGACCTGTCTCTGCTGCCTATAGTTGGGGCCACCTGCGCACTGTTTCCATTTACACATTATGCAGGCCTGACACAACTTTTATCTCCACGTACAGCAAAGAATTTGATTAATTCCTCACCTCATTCTCGACTTCTCATTTCTGAGCATGAGCAAAACACATATGAAATTCTGGAGAGAAATGTTAATGTGGAAATAGACCATGAGGAGCAACAGCTGATACTTAACATTTGTATTCCAATTATCAAAGAAGTCTCTGGTAATAGAGACTGTACATTTCTTCATTTTTTATCCAGAGAAACAAAATGAAAAGAGTCATAAAATAAAGGGTCTATCAAAAGGCTCACTGAACAGTATTTTTCAGAATTTAGTGTAGGATGGATTAAGCCCAGAACCCAAAATATCAACTCCTTTTCCTAAATCTCCTATCTCTAAATCTCAAGTGGAAACTCTATTGCATTGGTAAGAATAACAGCTAACACTGAATTCTTATGATATGCCAGACAGTGTTTTGAAATTTATTTACTCCTTTCATCAGTCTATAGAGCAGATTTTATTCCTGTTTTACAGATGTGGAACTGAGGCACAGAGAACATAAATAGATTCTCAGCTGATGGGGGCAAACTAGATGCAAACAAAGTCAATCTGACCCCAAGCCTGAATACTAACCACCAATCTCAATTTATTTAGTGGGATGATTAGGCAGTGGACAATGTAAGAACGCCTGCTGATTGTGTCAGCAATCTCTTTGTCAGCAACGCCTTCTGGTGCTAATCTGGCTAAGCTTATAATGATTTATCAAGTCCCTCTGTATCATATCTACCACACATATCTTTTGTCATTTGGAAGTTGGGTCAATCTTTTTTATCTGTTTGCAGAAAAAATCAAGGACCTGTTTCCAGAACACTCTCTGAGTAGCTCCACCAAGTTGGTGCTGATAAATGCAATTTACTTGAAAGGAAAGTGGGATAGGGAGTTTAAGAAAGAAAATACCAAGGAGGAGAAATTTTGGCTGAATAAGGTATGATTTTTTATTGATATGATGTGCTTATACATTGCCTTAGTTACTTTTCTCATTGCTGGGATGAGATACCTTACACACCAAATTAAAGGAGGAAAAGTATCTAGCTCACAGTTTATATAGGTTTCACTCCATAATTGGCTAGCTCCAAGGTAGGGTGAATGGCAGATAGGCATCTCAGAGGAGAAAGAGTTTGTGGCAGGCAGAAGGTCGCAAGGCAAGCAAAGGTCAATTTCAGCTCTTTTTATTCCTTATATCTTATCCAGGCTACTTAGGGCAGGCAAGACTCACACCCTTAGCACTGCACCACTGATCAATCCCAGCACCACACATTCTAGATCCAGTCACCTCTGAAAAATCCCCACCTATGATAGCATTAGGCAATATAAATTAATATAATACAAATATAAATACACATATGCAATATAAATTCTAGTTGTATCTGAGCAAATGTACACTTTTAGATAGCTTTTGTAACTCTAACCTTTAGAATTTTTTTACATTGAATTATTTCAGTGAGCTACTTTGTATGTCTTATGCCTTTTGTTTTATGTCTTTGACATTGTGTGCTCTGTTGATTCATTGCAGAGTACAAGTAAATCTGTACTGATGATGACACAGTGCAATTCCTTTAGCTTTGTTTTTCTGGAGGACTTGCAGGCCAAAATTGTGGGAATCCCTTATAAAAACAATGACCTCTGCATGTTCGTGCTTCTGCCCAATGACATTGATGGTCTGGAGAAGGTAAACCTCTTGCATCTCCTTATTCTCGCTTTCCTATTCTGAGAAGTTGTGTCCCACCACTTTCACTGGGTGAGCTTGGAAACAGGGCATCTGAATAGAAGCTGCTGCCAGACAGTGTCCAATAGAAAGTATTTCAGTGTGCAGCAGCTATAGCTGGCTAATATGGAGCATTAAATGGTATCAGGCTTATTGAGAATTAGCAGTATGAAAATATTTTGGGGTGAGCCAAAATGAACATTTAAGCTTATGTGGGAGTTCTTCAGAATGGATGATATCTGTGGACTCTTTCCTTGGGGAAAAAAATTTACACATATGGAGCAAATTTTATTTGACCTTTTGAGTTTTTCTTTGGTCTGTAGTCTTGAAGCAATTCACTTAGAACCACCCACTATTTAGTTACATTAATGCAGCACTACAGAAACCAGAAAGACTTTATTTCAAATTTTTGCCCCTTTAGCAGCTTTCTGATGGTTGAAGTTTCTTAACTTCAATCTCAATATTTTCTCAGCTCTAAGTTGGGCTCTGTGGTGCTTAATGTATAGTATGGTAATGTTGGGGAAATGTATTCTAGAATGGGCTGAGGACGTAGAAAACAATAGATGACAGCTGCTAAGTGATTAAAATATTAGATTTGGCTGGTAGTCTTATAAGTTTGGAAACATCTTGGGACAGTAAAACAATATTTATATTCCGATTCAAAAACCTCAAGTGTGGGAATTACCCTAAGGAGATAATGCAGAAGACAAAAGCTGGCTTTCTTAGTCAAATCAGTAATTTCAGTATTGAATAACTAGAATACCTAGTTTGAAATTCATACTAATTGATATTTCTGTATCTGCAATATTTAGAAGCATCTATCATAACACCTGATGCATACTAAATGTTTGTAAAGTGAACAAATAGATGAAAGTTGTCTAAAATTTGTAAATTTGTTGGGAACAGTACTTAAAAGTTTGAAGATATTTAGGAGAGATATATGGCCTTGTGACAACGTTAAGTTTTATAATAGATATTCAATGTGATGGAAACTGCAAAAACTACAGAAGGATGGAAAAAATGAAATTCATTTCATGTGGTTGAGTTTTCATGTATACCCAGATAATTTAAATATAGAAATAACATTTGCCTACTATATAAAAGCAATAGTGTAGTAAAATAAAATTTTACTTATTACTAAAAATACTTTCTGATACACATCAAGTATTGCACAGTTTTAAATTTTTATGGATAATCATGATAATCTGCCCTCTTTTTCTTTCAAAAATAGATTATAGATAAAATAACTCCTGAGGAGTTAGTAGAATGGACCAACCCTGGGAAAATGGAAGCAAGAAATGTGAGTCTGCACTTGCCCCGGCTTGAAATAGAAGACGGTTATGACCTGGAGCGTGTCCTGGTGACCATGGGGTTAGGAGACACTTTCAGCCAGTGTGAGGCAGGCTACTTAGGGATGTGCCTGAAATCAGGGCTGGAGGCCCAGAAGTTCCTGCACAGGTCCTTTCTGGAGGTGACTGAGGAAGGCACGGAGGTCACTGCAGCCACTGGTATGGCCTTTACAGTCTCTTCAGACTCAAGCTGTGAATATGTTCATTGTAATCACCCTTTCTTGTTCTTCATCAGACACAATGAGTCCAGAAACATCCTCTTTTTTGGGAGATTTTCTTCTCCTTAAAACAATCAGGGAAACAGGCAGGCATTGTGGCATAGGCTTGTAATTTTAGTACTCTGGAAGACTGAGGCTGAAAGCTCTCAAGTTGAAGCCCAACCTGTGCAACACAGTGACTTAGCAAGACCTAATCTCAAAATAAAATTTTTTTAAAAGGGCAGGGGATGGCCATGAGCTTAATCCCCAATTCAGGAGGCAGATAGGATGGGGAGGTAGGGGGATGAGGGGTGGGGGAGGTTATGGTCTGTCGCACATCTTTTTTACTTTGAAAACAACAAGCTGAGTTGAAGTTTTAACAGTATTATGGAAACTGTCCACACATTACAATTCCAATCTTGCCATTAAATCAATGATTTAATGACTGTAATAATGTATGTTTATAACTTTCCTTGAAAGTGAAATATCCTTTTGTGCCATACATAAGGGGAGTCAAATTGAAGATCATTTGTATTCCCCCTGGTTTTCTTTTGAAAATAAATGAATATCTTGTAATTTTTTTTTTTGTATTAGTAGGGAGAAATGGTGTCTTTGATAAAGTGTGTGTGGGGCAGGTCCCTTCAGTTCTAGTATTTTGACATTTTATTATACTCAAATAAAATAGAACAATAATTTACTCAATTATGTGTTACTTTTTTCTTTAACTAATCTGTACACAGGAAACACAATTTAGAGACATATTAATGAAAAATAAATTAAGGCTTATGTGCAAGAATAAAATAAAAGAATATTGCAGTTAGAGAGGATTTCCATATTTCATCTTCCATTCTAACAAAGCGATTACCCATTGTCATTTGGATAAATGTTTTGATATCTGAAATAAGTATGATAACTGAGAGAATAAATATTGCTGTTGATCAAAATGCCTATCTTGCTACTCTCTTAGGCTTTAGGAAGTTAATACTTGGAATAGTTCCTAGTTGTTAACCACGACTCCTCATTGCTCTCCCTTCTAACTGATGGAAATTATCATTCTTCTGGTTTTTTTTTTGTATTTGGCTATTGTGGACATGTATAAATATCCTTCATGCTCTTAGCATACTGCTTTCAAGGTTCATCTAAGTTACAGCATGAGTCGTTTTCATTATTATGATTAATATTTCATTACAAGGATATGTCAAATTTTGTGTTTCTATTTGATGAACATTTGTGTTTGACATTTTGGTGTTCTGAATAATGCTGCTATCCTAGGAAAATTTTGTATGTTTTTACATGGACATATATTTTCATTTCTCTTGAAATGGGATATTGGGGTCATGTGGTACTTTCATGTTTAGCATTTTGAGCAACTGCTACACTGCTTTCCAAAGCAGTAGTATAATTTTGCAATCCCAAAGCAATGTATATGAGTTTCTGTTTTTCACATTGTTGCCAATACTTATAGTCTGTCTTTTTAATTTTAATACTAGTGAGTATTAAGTAGTTCCTCATTGTAGTTTTGTGGACTACTTTGAAATAATGTGATTGAAGTCCAATTTATTAATATCATATTATTTTTTTATAGTGCTGGGGATCAAACCCAGAGTCTCACACTCCAGACTTATTAATATCATCTTTTAAAGATCACACTCTTACCAATCTAGTTCATATTTCATTAACCTCATTATTCAAAACATGTGCTCTTGGTTTATTCTAGACACTTTTAGCCCTTCTATTTACACCCATAGTCCGTTTATTATTTGTGTATGTTTGTAGTGTGTGGTTAAGTGTATACCTTTTTTTGGTGTATGAATATGTAATCACCACAACATTATTTCTTTAAAAGATGGTAATTTTTGTGTTGAACTGATTATAAATAAAAGGTTTTATTTGTAGGCTCTCAGTTCAGTTTCATTGCTCTATGTTACTCTACTTGGGCTAGTACTGTTGTGATTCTGAAATCAAAGAGGGTACTTACTTTGGTCCTCTGTGTTTTTATATAAATTTAAAATCAGCTTGTCTATTTCTTTAAAAATTGGAATTTTGATAATTGCATTAAGTTTATAAATAATTTTATCAATTTTGAGTTTTCTGATCCATGAATATGCAACTTGTCTCCATTTATTTAGCAATTTCATTTTTCACAACAATATTTTGTAGTTACTACTTTATGGGTCTTTTTTGTTGATTTTCTTTTGACAATTTTTGATTTATCATAAATTGGATTATTTTCTTAATTTCACTTTGATTATTCACTTGTAGTGTTTTGTTTAGACCTCTGATTGATTTTGTGTAAAAATTTTATACCTCCATTTTTCTAAACCCATTTATTAGTTCAAATAGCTTTTTTGTTGATTTCTTAAAAATTTCTAAAATTTATCTTAAACACCTTTTTCAGGCTGAAGAACTTCCTTTCTATTCCTAGAATATTGCTAGAGTTTTATTACAATGTTTTTGTCACACATTTTTAATTTTTATTGAGAAAATATGTGATTTTTTTCTATTAATATTCTGTTGGATATTAATTCATCCAAACAGTCCTAGGTTAAATAGCATTTGATTTTGGTATATAATTTATTCTGTATGTTATTAGATTTAGCTTACTAATATTTACTTATAAACTGCTGAATGTATGTTTACAGGGTATATAATTTTTTTTTTTTTTCTGAGACACAGCCTTGGGATGTAGTTCAGGCTGGCCTTGAATTTGCTATGTACCCCAGGTTGGACTTGAACTTTTGATTCTCTTGTCTTTACCTCTTGAGTTGTGGGATTACAGGTGTGCCTCAGGAATACTGATGTTTAGTTTTATATTCTTACTATTATTTCACGTGGTTTTAATATTAGTTAGTAGCAGCTACATAGGATGAATTGGAAGTGTTCCCTCCTTTTTTACCAGGAGTCTGGAAGATTTTTATTATTTCTTCTTTACATATTTGAGATAATTCATTAGTAAATTTATTTGGGACTAGAGTCTTATTTGTGGGCGAACTTTTTAAAAGTTCTAAATCAATTTCCTTACATGTTATATGTCCACTCATATTTTCTATTTCTTCAGTGGATTTTGATAATTTACAACACTTCTGGAATTTGTCATTTTTATCTAAATTGTTTAATTTGTTAACATAGTTATTTGTATTTATAATTACTGTAGCTTTAGTAATGATGTTACTTCTTTCACTCTGGAGTTTGACAATTTATATCTTTTCTCTTTTCCCTCTTGGAGATCTTTTCAAGGAATCAGCATGTGTTTTCTTGATTTTTCCTTTTTTTTTTTGGTACCAAGGATCTAACTCCTGTCCTTAGGCTTGTGAGGCAGGCAGCAGAACCACTGAGCTAAATTCCCAGATCATATTTATTTTGCCTTCCTTTATGAAAGAATTTTTATTATTATTTATATCTCTTCTGCATAATTTCAAATTTATGCAGAATTTCTTCAAGTTTACTGATTCTTTCTTTTACCATCTCAAATGTGCCATTTTGCCCACAGCCCATGACTTAGTCTAAGCCTGCTAGAGCTTCTGGCCTTTCTATTTCCTTTCCAATTCTACATTTTTTAACCCTCCTCTCACATAGTCTTAGGCTACTCAAGCAGTGAAAGAGCTGGTCTTCATTACCTTGGAAAAGCTACCATGTTGATAGAGGTGAGCAAAATGGGAGAAGTACCAGTCAAGGCAGCCTTAACCTCATAATTTTTTGCCTTAAGTTCTGCAGTATTTTTGGGTGAATGAATGATTCTTTGGTTGGTTCCCAGAGCATAGATATAGTTGTTTTTGACATCTTTGTCCAGCTTTTTGGGGGCCATACCTGAAGTCTTGCATTTTTTTTTTTACTTTTAAATTTTTATTTGTTCATTTAAAGTTGATGAATAAAATTGTATGCATTTATCCTTCATAACACGAGGCTCTGGAGCATACATTCTGGTTGTATTGCTAGTCATAGTTCTTTCTTGTATATATTTTTTTCTGTACATTAGTAGCTGGATTAAGAAATTTGATCAGATGGCAGCTTGTTCTAGACAGAATTACTCTATAGATGGCATTATGCATTTTCATCATGAGGAAAATGTCTGGTTATTCATCTTGCCACTCCCACCTATACCACTTTTGTGATGTTGGTACACATTAGTGATCATAACACAGGCTCATCTTCATGAGGAGTCATAAACCTGTGATGTGCTACTTCTAGATTTATTGGTGGAGATATTTCTAGCAAAGAACTTAGCTCCATTAACTATTTAACAATTCTGAGGTACAGTTTTTCTATCAAAGGCTAGATAAATGATGAGCTATTGTAACTCTGTATGCCAGTTTTCAGATTAATGAATTGATTTTCTAAAATTCTACAAACATGACCAGTGAAAGTTGTTTAGTGATAATTTATGATTGTGAGTTTATTAAATATGCTTCAATCCCTTTTGGGAATTGCCTTTTATGCATGATTAAATGAGTTGTTTCCTGGGTATTTCATTCTGTTACACAAGTTTGTTTCTTTAAGAGAGGTATATTAAAATCACACTGCTGTAATTGTAGATATTTTATGTTTTTATGTCTGATATATCTGTTTCCCTGCATTAGTTTCTTTGGGCTGCCATAATAAATTACCACTAACTTGGTGGCTTAGAACAATAGAAGTTTACTATTTCATACTTTTGGAGACCAGAAGTTTAAAATCAAGATTTGATAGAGTTGGCTCCTCTGGATGCTTTGAGAGAAGGTGTGGTTTCTGCCCCTTTTGTAGTTTCTGATGATTTCAGGTAATCCTTACTTGGTCTGAACATATCATTCCAATCTCTGCTTCCTTCTTCCGCTTGTGTGTGTATGTGTCCTTTCTTTTTTTTTCTCACTGAGTTCATTGGTACATTTTAGGTATACAATACAGTTACATTCATCATTGGAATCTTGTACCTTTACATGACAGGTCTTGGTTCTCATTTTTTCCCCATACCCCTGCCCTTCCTTCACCCCCTCCACATTTCCTATTCTTTCTTTTTCTTATAAAGGGATCAATCATTAAATCCTATTCTAGTCTGGGATAACCTCATTTTGATGAAAAAATTTTATCAGCAAAAATCTTTCTAGCTAAAGTCA